ACCTTCCCTGTGCTCACTGAGCTCACGTGTTTAAAAAAAATCAAAAATATTTCAACAGCTATGTTCACATGAACTATGAAGGAAGGAAGGTACCTATCTAGGCTAGAGTAGGCTTCCCCAAGGAGGTGACATTAGAACTGAGAGCTGTGAGCTGGTGTCACCCTGATAAGGGGAGGACAGTGTACTGGCCCAGGAAACAGAAAGAGCAGTGACCACCAACTGGGAGAAGGAAGAAAACTGGCTGGGGAAGGTGACAGCTATTCCTTTGTCTCACACCCAGGTATAAGCACACAGTCTCAAACCTCCCCCCACAGTGGGAATGCATTTGACCCTGAAAAGGGGCTCTCTGCTGGATTTCCTTCCCGGTGTTTGCTCCTTGTGACCTATTGGCTGGCAACCAGGAAGGGAGGTAGGGCCAGCTGGAGGAAAGTGGTCTCCACACTTTCACATCTGGCACTGCCCCCTCCAGCTGAACTGGTGCCTTCCTGGGGACCATGTTTGCAGTTCATAAAGTCTCTCTCTATTTTTTATTTTTTGTAAGTGAAAAAAATGATAAGACATTTCACCAGCAATCCTAGGAAAGTGGAAATAAGTTCCATAAAATAAAATTGAAACCCAAAAACAAGTTCTGCTTCATGCTAAATGACTTGTGTTGGCAGGTAGCCCTTACAAGAAACCACCCGTCCATTTTGCTTTAAAATGCTTTAAAGCAGGTCTTCCGTTCTCTCTCCTGTTTCTTTAGTTTTACAACACAACTGTCTTCTCTAGAGACATATGCTTACAATTGGCAATTCTGTGTCCTATAAACTCTCTAGAATATGGTTAGCTACTGAAATAACTTGCCCATGAAAATATGTAACTACATATGGTAGTCCCCTTTATAATGACGTGGATTTATGTGTCGCTGTCTGTACCTTCCACATTCTTCTCACCTTTTTTTTTCCTATTTTACATCTCTTCTTAAGTAATGGACATACTTTTACCACCACCACCCAGCCTTGTCTCATCACATTTTCTGAAGGCCTTGTGCACAAGTGGTCTTCAGAAAAAAGAATGGTGATGGAAGGAATGATGTCCTAAGTGTCTTATGTGCACTCTAGCAGGCTGACTCTGATTGAATCCTCACCAGCAGGACAAAATTCACATCTGGTGTTTTACCACAGGCCCTTGAGAACCTCAAGGAGAATGGCTGGTTCTTCCTCATCTCTCAGTCCTTGGCTCGTGGCTCACAACGCATGCTCAATAAGTGCTTTTCAGTGGTAAACATCGAGGCCCAACTCATGCAGTTGTGTGAAGAAGTCCATTCTTGTGAAAATAGAATTTCAGGCTGCAGTTCTGCCAGAGGTACAGGGAGAAGGGCTGGCCCTGGAAGCAGAGTTCTTTGGTTGGTACCATGTCACTGGTTCTCAGGACTCTCTACTTCACTCCTTGGTCCCCTCTCTGGTCCTCAGTCAATCGGGCCTTTATCTTTGACTCCTCACTGTGTTTGGCAGCCAGGCAACATTTATGTGCCTGATGATTCCCATCAAAAGAAGGGTTCCCATCTCCTCTTCCCCCTCAGGGCTAAGCAGCAGCCATGAACCCCGGCTACCCCTACTTCTCTTCCAAGCCTGGCCTCTGACCTCTCCCAGACTCCTCTTTTCCTCAACACAGCATTAGGTAAGGAAACCATACCCTTCCCTATGCTGGGCCCTCTGCCTGGAGCTCGCTCCTCCCTCCAGGTCTTCCTTGCTCAATGACTTCTAGCTCATTCTTCAAGGTGTAACTCAGACTTGGATGACTGCTGCAGGCCCCTGGTAGTTGCACTTTGCTCTCCCCCTTGCCAGGGTGCACACTGCTCCCTGCATTCTACTGTATTTCTTACTTTACCTGCTGTCCTCCATATTGGACCTGAGACCTGCTGTTTTTGGTGTCATTCCTCTAATGTCCAGCACAGTACATGAGCCTGGCCTGGACCTTGGCTCATTCTTAGTAAACATGCAAGGAAGAAAATCAGGGAGGAAGTGAAGGTTGATGAGGCTGGGGACAGGAGGAGAGGAAGAAAAAGGGAGCAGCCTCTCTTATATGTTTTAACCTGGTGGAGGAACAGCCCTGTCTGAATGCAAAAGAGGGGCTGAAATGAAAAGAAGAGAGAATTAGGGCCTAGAGGAATTTTGGTAGGGCTAACATTTAGGATTAGAGATGCTTAAAGAGTCCCTCTGGGCATTGGGGAACCGTCTCTTCTAGCTGTGTGGGACACAGAGCCTTGAGACACAGGACTTACTTGCTTTGTTCCTTACTAGGCTGAAATTGGTATGAATTCTTTTTGAGCCATTTCTACTGTGTCGTAGACCGAACTAAGTTCGATGAACACTGACCATTTCCGGAGCTTTACAGGATCGATGAGTTCCAAAGACCCAAAGGGCTACGTGGTCTCTACTGTGCCTTTTTCCAATGCAGTGACCGGGTCCTCACCCACAGGCCCCTGACACGGCCAGCAGCATGCCAGGAGGATTCCCTTCCACACAGTGATGACTTTCAGCTATGCCGCAGTTTCCCTGACCCAGAAGGAAACCCGTGTGGTTTGGGGTTGAGGGTGTGGATGAGCCAGCGCAGATTTTTTCCTGTTGCCTGATGGCTTTAAATTGCAACGTCTCTTTTCATTTTCCATTATGCATCAAACACATCTGTGCCAGAACCGGACGAATGGATTCCGTCTGGGAGGATGATCCCAGACAGCTAGAAATTAGAGTTTGTGGACAGAGAGATTCCAAAAATGTGGCCTCATGGTAGGGTGTCCCTGGGACCAGTCACCTCCTCCACAGTCTGCTTGGTGGCTGCTGGCTTTGGCCTGGTGCCTCTGTCAATAGATTGTACTTTGCATTTGGAAACTTTGTGTTTCCATCAAGGCACTGCAGAGAGGAGGGTTACAGGGTTGCCACGGGGCTCTGCTGGGCAATTTTGTCCCAAGCACTCTGGGATCTTCCAGGGACAGGGCTTGATCAGGACCATCACTCTCTTTTCTGCATGGCAAGAGCGAGGACCCCAAAGTTGGTGTCCTTCCAAGTTAAGCACAGCCCAAGAAGACTACCCATGTTTTTAGACTGAACATAAAACTACTGTTCAATGCTTTCTTAAAAAGCCATTTTTACGCTTAGCAGAGTAGTTCATACTTAACGCAGCACACTTAGAAAACAGAAGAAAAAAGTCACCTGTAATCCCGCCTTTCAAAGACAAATATTGTTAATATGCTAGCATGGTTTCTTTTTACATCTCCACGTCATGCTGCCCTTTTAAAACCTGCAAAAGTCCTTGGAGAGCTGGTTGAGCCCAGTTCTCAGAGTCTCCAACTAGTTCCTTCCTCTGAGGGCTGGAAACTCTTAGTTCCTCTCCATGGGAGAGGCCAGCCGGTAAAACTCACCCCCCAACACTGATTCTTCACTGAAGGCTGCTGTGTTTCTGAAGAAACCAGAGGAACTTGGCCTTGGGAGACAGAGGTCTTATATAAATCCAGCCAGATAGCCCTAGAGGGCAGTGCTGTGTCCCTTACAAACTGCCCATAAGGTAGAAGACCCTTTGTGAAAGCCTCCTGGGAATTTTCCTTATTAAACCTCTTCTCTGATTTCCCCTTCTGTCTTCCTGTTGCACCTTTGGGCACTCTGCTGTGGGGGACAGAGGCATACTCTCCCTTGCTCGTCTGGTGAGAGGCTGAAGCAGCCCAACAGTAACAGTGACTGGATTGGCAGAGGCAGGAGGCTATTTTTACATCTCGCTTATTTTCCCATAGTGCCTTGCACCTAGAAGGTGCCCTGTAAATATCTGTTGATTGATTGATCGATACAGTGAAATAGGAGAATTGTGTTTGCAGAGAGAACACCGTGACTGGAGCCTGCTGGCATGTGGTTGTGGCAGTCCTGTGATGGCAGAAAGTGCTGCCAGGGTCAAAGCCAATCCCCACAGTGGCCATCAGAGCAGAGACACAGCCCAGTGATGACTCTACCAGCTGCCAGCCTGCCCAGCCACTGGCTATGCCAGCCACTCACCCTCTCCATGAGCCACACAGCACACAGACCACACTTTTTCAGAAAATTAGTTTTTCCTTTCTCACTTTCCATGGAAACTCAAAATAGCAACCAAAAAAAGAAAAGAAAGAGAGGCCAGGCTCTGTTCCTGCCTGCAAAACCATCTCCAGCGGAGCAGGGCAGTGGCTGCTATGCAGAATTGGGGAAAGAGGGCTGCCCATGTCTCTGAACAGCCTTCTAATTGGAGACTGTGCATCATGACGTGTGGGTGGGCTCTGAGGCTGGTGTATTTTCTTCTAATTTAGAAAAGTGGATTCCCCCAGGTCTTGGAGTTCATCTTGCTCTTGGTGACCTGGCACCTAAGACACAGTTGCTACTTACTGTGGTGCTGGTGAGGAGGTTCAGCATGCCTAGCCAGGGACAATAAGGCAGGGGGCTTGCCTGCTGGTAGGGTTTTTTGTTACTGTTGTCATTGTTTTTTTGTTTTGTTTTGTTTTTGGTGGGCCTGGGATTTGGACTCAAGGCTTCATTCTTGCAAAGCAGACTCTCTACAGCTTGAGCCACACCTCCAGTCCATTTTGCTCTAGTGATTTTGAAGATGGGGTCTCCAGAACTATATGCCTGGCCTGGCCTACAAATCATGATCCTCCCGATGTCAACCTCTCAAGTATCTAGGAATTACAGATGTGAGCCACTAGCACCCAGCTCGGAACAGTGTTTTTGAGATGCCCCTCAGCCATGCCATATCTTTCCCATAACCATGGGGCAGCCTGATGTCAGGGTTGACCCAGCCTGAGCTCTACACTTGAAACCAGAAAAGCCCAGTGCAGATCCCAGGGCCCCGAGGGCCTTTAAGCACAGGCTTTCACCTCTCTTATCCCCGTTTCTTCTCCTGTGAGCTGGGAAGGGCGATCAGGTGATTATACAGGGATGACCCTCCCAGCCGTGGTCTGTGCATACACTCCTCTCCTCATCAGTACTGTGTTCTTTACCTTCCAGCTGGCCGGGTCAGCCGTCATTGCATTTGGACTATGGTTTCGGTTTGGAGGCACCATAAAGGATTTATCATCAGAGGACAAGTCCCCAGAGTATTTCTATGTGGGTGAGTGACTTCAGCGTCCCTAAGCTGTAGCTGTGGAAGGTTAAAGCTTAGTGCAGAAATCTGCTAGGACTGGGAGGGGGAAAGAGAAAGGGAGAGGAAGGAACCTCCACTCTGAGCCCTGCACACTTATTCCAGCCCTGGGGCAGGGGCAGAGGGGTGATGTTCACAGGCACTCTGGTGGAGAGGGCCTTGCCCCACACATGGCCCATTCCTACTCGCCAAGATCAAGGAAGGCCAGTGGTGGCAACATTGACTTCTTGTGTCAAAGAGAAAAGTCACAAGGAGATGCAACTAAGATTCATTCCAAAGAAGCAGAAAAAACTTTTGTCCCCTAAGTAAAGTGGATACCCACAAGTCTGTCATTCTCTAGTTCATCTAGGGTGACATAGGCCCCTGCTCAGTAAAGCATTTCTTTTGTGATCTTGTATTTTTAAAATTGTGTAAGAGATCAATGTAACTTAAGATGAAGAGTCACCTCCAGGTTTGGAGGTGCTCAGCAATCGTGAGTGTGTGTGTGTGTGTGTGTGTGTGTGTGTGTGTGTCGTGGCCAGGGACTACGGAAAGGAGGGGACGAGGGAGGAGGAGAAGGGAATGATCTGAGGGAGAGACCTGGAGGGCTGCCTGTGGAGAAGAGGGAAGGGGGAGGGCCAGAAGAGAAAGAGCAAGGATTGAACCACCTGCTGAGGCACTGCTATTGGTAGGAACTGGGTTCAGTTCCCTCTGAGTATACAGCCCTCTCCTGTGGCCTTTTCTTGTTCTCCAGCCAAGTACACCTGGACTCTAGATTTCAAAAAGCCCAAGGCCATTGCCAGTGTCACAACACTCCTGTCTGACTGTTTTAAGAACTGCAAGGGCCACAGAGTAGGCGTCTCCTGTTTGAGTGGCCTCTGCGCCTGGAGAGTGGAGATGCTCCACATCCCAACAAAAGAAGATTCTTTTTCCCACAAGAGAGAGAATCCAGGCCACTAGAGGCCTTGATGTCCTTATGACAGTCCAGCTCACAGCTGGGTCACCTCCTCCAAACACCCCACCTGCACAGCATCCTTGTGTAAGGACAAAGCTTTATCAGTTAGACTACTTTCATTTTATGTTTATTTGTTTGTTTGTTTGCTTATTTACTTGCTAGGCGAGCACTCTGCTACTTGAGCCACACTCCCAGTCCTTTTGTGTTTTTAGGGTGTTTTGTTGTTGTTGTTTTGGGAGGTACTGGGCTTTGCTTTTGCTAAGCAGGAGCTCTGCCACTTGAGCCTTGCCCCCAGCCCTGTTTCTTTGTGAGGTGGGGTCTTACTCTAACTGCCCAAGCTGACCTCAAACCACAATTGTCCTGTCTTCCCCTCCTGCGTGGCTGGACCTGCAGATGTGCACCACCACACCCAGCCCTCAGGTAGGATACTTTAAAAGGAAAACAGCAGTACTCATGTATAAAAATGGAAAAATGAGACCTGTTGGAATGATTCTAAGAAGGGGGGAAGGGGTAAAGGAGAATGATGGAGGGGATGAATTTAACTAAGATATATTGTAAGCACTTTTGTAGATGTCACAATGTACCTCCAGTACAACAATAATATAATACGTTTTTAAAAATTAATCGGTTATATAGATTACTATTTTAAAAAAGGAAAATAGCAGAAAACCTAGTAAATATGAAAAACAATAAGGTTTCACATTGATGAAATCTTAGATGCAGCTTTTTGTAAAACACTCAACTATTTTAGGCTTCATTAAGAAAAAATGGCACAAATTTAACTTTGACATGCCACAAAAGATACATCCTAATTTCAGAATTGTTTAAAAAAAATGTTCAAGGCCAAAACAAAATTGATGAAGTGTGATTAAAAAAAAAAAAAAAAAAAGGCCGGAGATAGGGAATTTCCCATCAGAGAACTTCTCTCTACCTGGCCACCCTCGCCAGCATGGCCCCAGATGTCAGAGAGAGCGCCCTGGCTGCAAGCATCCTGCACTCACACCACTATCCAAAGGAGGAAAAAAGAAGCTTCATTTCAGATGGCCCTTCTCAGGAATGAATAAAACCTTTTTCAGGGCTGACAGAGTGGCTCAAGCGCTAGAATACCTGCCTAGCAAGCGTGAGGCCCAGAGTTCAAACCCCAGTACCACCATAAAAACACCTTTGTTAGGAGTCTCCCAAAGAACACACTTCCCCTTTTGGCTTATTGGTTGGCACTGTATGATAAACTCACGCCTAAACCAACCATGGCCAAGAAGTGAATGTCCACGGCTGTCTCTCTGACCAACTGATATTCATGCTTGGGCCTGGGGTGCGACATAGAACCCCCAGAGGGCTTCTGACTCTTGTACAAGACGGGGATTTAGTGACAAGGAAAAAGGAGAAACTCTGCCATAGACTTCACCAAGAAATGCTCTTTTAATCCACAGTTTCCCAGTAAAAACACGCTTCCTTCCAAAAGCTAACACACACTTAGCATATTCTTTCTTGGAACTCCAAAAGTAGGTGAGCCCACCCCAGGGACCCCAGGAACATACAGAGGGCAGGGCAGGGAAGGAATGTGTCTTTGTTCATGCCCACTGATACTCCAAGAGCTGCTGACTGCACAGCTTCAGCACAATTTCTAACTCAGTCTTAGCTAAGTCCCATCTGAGCCCACGCTTGTGGGATTCTTGCCTCTCCAAAGAGAAAGTGTTCAATAGCCAACAGCAGACCGCAGTCACAAGCACATGGGAGATACTACATGTGTACTGCAGACATAAGCTCTGAGTTAAGAACAGAGAGACAGCACTGAGGGCTGCAGGACAGTCCTCAGGGCGCAGGGTACTCACATGGGGCTTAGAAGGACGGGGAGGTTTGGGATTGATTGAGTTAGGGAGAGCCCTCTTCATAGCTCTTCTTTGTGGTACTGGGAACTGAATCTATCATGACTCTGGATTGAGATTGATAAGTACAAAGCAGTCAGCTGCCATTATTTCCCTCATCTATGGAGATACAGCTAGTTGTTAGGATAATCTTCCAAGAAGTCTTCTTAGCCCAGCTCTTGCTCTCCCCAGCCATCTCCAGTGGCTCCTCAGGGTGAACCTTATTTGCTCTCCCTGCTCTGAGATCAGTCGTCACTTGACACCCTAATGTGAGCTCAATCCCAGTAGAATAGTCTAAGTGTTTGCTCCTGAAATTCAGGCTTGTTGGGGGGGGTACAGCATTTGACTGTGTACTCTTACATGCTGCTGGGTTTGCACTGGAACCCTATTTTTCTCATCTTCCCCAAATGTAATCCTAGGACTTTCCAGCAAAAGCTGCATGTGTGCTGTTAGGCCAATGGGGAGGAGTCTGCCCAGAGAACCAGCATCTGGGAAAAACACCAAGCAGTTCAGTGACATTCACAATCCCACCTTCAATGACCAACGGCCTACACCCAACCACCCACCCACCCTCACTGCCAAGTTTGAGGGTGAGGAATTTAAATCTCTAAAGTATAATTTTTTGAGAATGAACCGTCCATTTTTCATCAAAAACAAATAAAAGCTTTTTATTTTTTGTAGTACTTGGGTTTGAACTCAGGACCTTGGGTTTGCTCCCAAACCCCATACCACTTTGAGCTGCTCCCCCGACAAACCATTCTGAAAGATCATGGAAATCAGGCTTATGTAAAAACCTCTAGAAAAGCTGAAACCCTCTCAATAAACATCTGTTTGCCTTTGAAAATCTTTTCATGGGCCAGGTGTGGTGGCTCACGCCTATAATCCTACCTTCTCAAGAAGCAGAAATTGGGAGGATAACCTTTCAAGACCAGCCCAGTTCAATTAATAAAATCTAGGTGTGGTCATCCCAGCTATGCAAAAAGCAGTGTAAATAGAAGGATCACTGCACAGACTGACCCCAGGCATAAATGAGAGGCCCTATTTGAAAAATACCTAAAGCAATAAGGGCTGGGGCATGACCCAAGTGGAGAGGCCCTGCATTCAAACCCTAGTACTGCAAAAAAAAAAAAAAAAAAACAACCTCTTCTTGTTATTTTAATTCTTTGAATCTCACTAAATATTTGGTTTATGTCAACATTGTTAAGTATTCAAGCAGGATTGCCTTTATTCTTTCCAGGTTTTGTAGGCTCCTCTACTTAAGAAAAAATATATATAACCTATCAATAGAATCTAAGTCCACCAGCTAATATTATAATCCCAGGCTCTGAGGCCACACAAAAATGTCTAAGAGTGTTGTAACTTCCCCCAGTTACTTGCAGTATATTTGAAAAGACTCACATTCTTGACACTTTAAGTGGCAATAAGAGCTAGTGTGTAAGAGATGTCAGCCATGAAGTGGTAAATGAGAGATTGTTCTAAGCAGAAAAGGCAAGAAGGACTTGAGCAAGCCCAGACTGGAGAGGGCTCTTCCTAGAGTGAGGAGTGGGGTATGATCGAGAGGAAGGGTTAGTAGTACAAAGGGCCCTGAATCTTGGTTAATTTGGTAAGCAACAGAAGGATATTTTGGGACTTGGGGCAGAGTAGAATCTGCACTGCCTTTTGTTTTCCTTTTTGGCAGTACTGGGATTTGAACACAGGGCTTTGCACTTGCTAGGCAGGTGCTCTACTGCTGGAGCCATGCCCCCAGCAATTTTTGCTCTGGTTATTTTGGAGATAAGGTCTTGCTTTTCGCCCAGGCCAGCCTGGACTGTGATCCTCATATTTTAAGCTTTCCACTGTCTCTGGAATGACAGATGTGTGCCACCACACTCAGCTTTTTTCTGTTGAGATGGGGATGAGGGTAGTGTCTCACAAACTGTTTATGCTCAGGCTAGCCTAGAACTGTGATCCTCCTGATCTCAACCTCCCAAGTAGCTAGAATTACAGGCACGAGTCCCTATACTTGACATGCACTGTCTTTTAAATAGACTATTCTGGCAGCAATGGAATGGGAGGGGAGTCATAGAACTAAAAAAAAAACATAGTAAATTAGTAATATCATTAGGCCTGAAAAAATGGCTGCAGTCAGAATTATAAAGAAAGACAGAAAGACAAGAATGCCATTAAACATT